ACAGGGAACAATGCTCCCCCAGCCGTTTTAGGGTGACCAAACAGCCGTTAGCCCAACGTTTGGGTCAAAACGGCTTGCCAATGGAGCTGCAACGCAGGTTGCAATGGCAAAATTATTTGCTGGGTACTTAGAAAAACATCCGTGCAGCAGATGGAAGAGAAAATTATACTCTTGGTAACAAAAATGGACTTTCCAATACAAAGACCGGAATAGATAAATAATCCGGGATAATTTCATATTAGTTGTAATTGTTCAATTTTGAATACAATTGAATTTTGAAAGGTTGAGCCTCCTTAAGTCATATACTACCTGATGGTGTATTTTTTTTCAAGTTCCATTTAGATTTCCTTTGAAAACAATGTATTAAAAAACTCCCTCACACAAAGTCTTTTTCTCCCAAACTTCTTTACGTTAAATTTTCTGCAACTATTTTGATATTACTGTATTTACTCAAGTACCAGGTACACATTTTTCCTCAAATTTCTGAAGAAAAGGTTTCAAGCATAAGTGGGTAGAATTTTTTCAAAAAGTTTTAGCAAGTTATGTGTGCATTATACTTTATTATAATAGAGAAATTTGGAACAAAGGTAGCAAGAAAACTCTTTTTACTGAAAAAATTGAAAATTTATCAGATATTTGTTCAATTTGTCTGAAAAGTTATTTTTTTTTACATTTTGTGGTTTTTGAGTCACTGAAAATCGGTGTACAACAGGTCTTACTGGGAGATCAGATTTTAGCAAAATTTTCAAATGCAAAACCCTTGTGGCACCTTACTTCAGGGGGCAGTACTCAAGTAAATACAGTATTGTCTTCATACTTGAAAGAAGAAAAGCAATAAAACAAGCAACTTAATCTGTTATAGCCCATCTGTAGCAAATTTGGACTTTTTCTGCAGATTTTGGTTGCGCTTGAAAATCACATTTAAAAAAAGGAAAAAAATCCTGGTATTTTTTAAATTTTCTGCAGAAAAATGTTTCTTAGAAATGAAAGAATTGCTTCTTCAAGAATCAATCTTCCGTCCTGGCCGTTTTTTTGTCCTCCATTCCAAAATCATTTCAAGTTTCAAAGCTGGGATCACAAGTTAGAGCTTAGAGGTCACTACAAAAAAAGCTGACTGGGGAAAATTGCAGCATTTCTTTATCCCTGGATAAAATCTAACTTTGCCCTTCCCCACCCTGCAGGGGTTGCATACCCTTATTTATTAGAAATGAAATGCTGGCCCCAACAGAAAAAGTCCTACTTTGCCCTGCTATGACAAAGAGGCTGTGGTTATCCAAGGGTTGCAAAGGAAGTTACAGACTAATTGAGCAATTAAACCCTTGCCTCCCAGTTCAGCATGCAGTAAACTCAATAAACAAGTAAGTTTTAAGGCCAGAATATTACCACTTACAATTTCCTGCAATTCTTTTATGTTTCCCAAAAAATGCTGTTTCTCTAAATAGAGACTGCTCTAAATGGAAACCTCCCAAAGTTGATTTTTTTGCTTGAAATCTGACTTAGAGAGGTTCAATTGTAAGTGAGTTTTCCTTGAATGAACTGCTGTATTCATCTTCAATCCATGCAAAGTTTTGATAGGTGGGCATTTTGATATGCTTGCTTGTTACATGTCGCAGCTAGGCATTTTGATATGCCCACATACTATGCATAGCAGTTAGACATAACAAAATGCCTATCTGATCAACATAACAAAGGTCCCAAGTAGACATAGCATGCAATGCATGGCAGTTCGTGTATCAAATGCATTTCCCATGCATTTTGCTGTGCCCCGCAATTATTTGCTGGGATTGCTCCAATCCTGATGCTTTCAGTATTTTTTCAATCACATTGATTCCTACCAAATTGATTGCACCTCTGGAATTATCAACCCCACATTGCCCTTGTATGATTCAGCATTCCTGCCCCAAGGAAAAATTGAAATGTCCATGTTTGAAAACAGGGTAGACTTTCAAAATGTGCAATACGTATATCCATCAATGATACTTGGAAGTTGGTTGCTTCACCCCTATGTTACCTATGCATGCTGGAGAGTTTCCCAAGTAAGCTTCAATGTTTCAAAATTTTGTAAAACACCTCAATATAATATTCAAGTCCATACCTAGGCAATTCCAATGTTCATCACTTGAGGCCATCAAAACAATCATACCGATTTTGACTGCCCATTTTTTGTTTGTTTTGTGAAAGCAACATGCCGAACTCCATGCAATTTCACATCAGTATCTGGATTAAACTCCATGCAATGGCAAATCAATATCTGCATTATTGTTATTAAGAAATTTGGATATGGTCAAAAACACTTCTGATGAATTGCTTTTCATCAAAGGGAAGGTCTATTTAATTTCCAAATTGAACCATGGAACAGCAGTGAGACTTTCTGTCTGCTTAGTCCTGTAGTACATGCTGAATACAAGAAAGCAGAACTATATTAAAATCCATTAGTAAGTTAGCAACAGCAGTATGGGGTTATCATCAGGACCTAAAGAAGAAAACAATCTGCACTTGGAAAAATTCAACTTCGTGGACAGATTTTTCCAACTGATTTTGCAGTTATCAGGGACCTTGCCCGTTGGAAACGTACTCCAGGGGAGACCTAAATTCACTCGCTTGTCCTTGGGAACATTGCTTACGGTGACATGGATACTGTATTCCACTTATTTCCTTCTTTGGAAGAATATTTGGCTAGAAAGTAAGAAGATCAGAATCTTAAAAATTCACGAAAGATTTACTTATGAATTTTTCCTAATAGTTGCGAAACCATTGTTTACCGGTGGCAGTGAGTCATGGCCAACTCTCAGCATAACTAGGAACATCTCCGTCACCGTAATCAATTTGGTGTTCTTTGTGTGTTTGTGTAGCGCTCTGTCACGCGCGAAATCCATCGCGAATGTCTTGGAGACGTCGATCGCGGTTCAAGCCGATTTCCGCGCCCATGGCATAAGTGCATCATTTTCGAAGAAGGAGATTCTCACCATCGTGATTCTCGTCTCTATAACTGTATGTCTTTCAAATGCGGCCTTTGGATTCATCTCGAAACCTCCGTTGGATGCTGTCATGGTGAGTCAGTGCTATTTCATCAGACGTGTGGTTTTCAAGTGAAGCCAAATGTTGTAGTGTACGAGGAAATCTCTGTTCAATATCGCAGGCAGTGATGGAAACGTGCCCGTACTTACAACCAGTGCCTCTCTCGATTTTGATGTTGCGACTGTTATCCTTCATGGCTAAAGGACTTGAATCCGTGTTCGTGCAACTTGAGTTTTTGACAAATGTGCATCATCATCCTGATGGTGAACGCTTGAAGGCGGTGCTAAGACGTGTTTTTGCTTCGTATAGAAGCGTGATGCTCTTCTGCGAATCTTTCAAGAGCGCTTTCGGGTTCATCACGGCGGCGCTTTTCTTGGAACTTTTCATGAGCGTGTTGTTGCTCTCATTCACTGTCACAAGTAGTATTATGAATCAATCAGTAAATGAAGATGACCATCCATTCGTGGTATTGACGTTTGGAATTTGTTTGGACATAATGTTGATGGTGCTCCTGTGTTCCGCCGGACAATCGATCATCGATCAGGTTTGTACATTATGTCGTTCCTTGATATTTTATTGTTCGTGTGTGATGGATTACCGTCAATGCCGTGCGTTATCCATTCTGGAAAATATTCCTAGTGGGGCATTTGTCGTATTGGGATCCTTAACGCCTTCTTATACAGGACGATAAAATTCGAATGTGCATCAGGGACATGCAACAGTCGCCCGTTACCACGGAAATTCAATTCCTGAAAGATCCCTTTGTTTGCGGTGAATCCGAAGTTGGAGCGAATTCCTTAGATCGGATCTTGTTGTGCAAAGGAGCATCTGTCACAGCTGACGACTACTTTGAGTTGAAGAATAGTAACGTTCCAAACGCAAGTAGATCCGTGATAGTTGCCAAATGATGAAAGAAGTTTAATTTCAGGTTTTTTTCTGGGTTGCCTATTGCAGATTTTTGGTCTCCTGTTCACATATTTGATCATTTTGGTGCAATTCAAGATGGACGAGAAACGGCCGTAGGAGATGATTGTCATTCAGGAACAGGCGACGACAATGAGGTTTATCTAATCCTTGAACAAATATACAGTATATACAATTCTTTATACTAATTGACGAGAAAAATGTTTCTCTCCTTGCGTTTCTATCTTCAGAAGCATGCATGGAGCTTGCGATGAGAAAATTTCAATTCGTGCACATATCATTAATACTGTACAGTACTTGGTTCTCCGCCTATGCGACCTGCATCATCATCCTGTAAAAAAGTGAACATCATACAAATGAGGAAGGTTATTCCGAATTGAATTATGTTGAATTCTTCCTCTGACGCAATTTCTTGGAAAAATGATGAGCTTTGCCGAAATAAATTATTTTCAGCTTCACTGTTGAAGCACGCAAATCATTCATTAATTCCATGCATAGATATAAGTACTGCATATATATATATCTGTTCGGGTGCTCGTGGGTGGGCAACCTGGCTATATACTGTAAATGAAAATTTTTTTTTTTACAAAAGTTGAGGTGTGCATGATACTTGATTCTAGCAGTAAATCTTGAACCAATTTCAACAGAAAAACTCAATGGCAATATATTTTAATGGAACATTACTTTAATTCTGGTTCAATTATGATAAATTCAAAATTTGTTTACTACTTCTGAAATATTGACAGGGCATGGTAATTGGATATCACCTGCGTGGCATACTTCAGGATGCAATTTTATCAACATGTCACAATGAAATACCCTCGTGCAGTATGCCCATGCTATGATAAACAAAGAAACAGTATGTAAAAAAAAACGCATTCAATCTCTAAAATGATAACAATGTGTCGGGTATATTTGTTGCAAAATAATTAAGTAATTGGTGACAAAAATCTTTGTTAGCGCGAAATATTCAGCATTTGAACCCTGAATTAAAAATTAAATTTGCACAACAGCTTTCGAATGATCCATGCTAGGCCACAAGTCACAACTCGTAATGCAATCCATGATGCGCGTTCCCATACTGTTAAGCTTTTGAGAGCCACATGATTTTCTGTTTCTCTCAGGTAGGTGTCGCTTCTCTTGCTGCGAAAATGAGAACGTACCGCGTTTGATTCCAGCAAGCGTCGTACAGGCGTGTATACTGTCTGTATACATAAAATCGAAAACCCATGTTGTGAGAATTTCTTATTTTCCAGGAATGAAAACCATGAGATACTTGATCAATGCACAGGCATGAAACCTCGCAGAATCAGCCAACTTTTTCAAAAAAATTAACATCATGAAGAAAATTTAGGCTCTTCAGGGATGTGAACATGATATATTGTCTGTAATTTTCATTTCCCTTTAAGAGGTACATTATATGTTCATACAGCAGAAGAACGGCGTTTCTTCTGTGCCAAACAGGATATTTTTGAGGCACGGTTTAATTTTTCGCTCTTCTGTCCTACTGGATTTCGGGGGTTTCCTCTGAAACGAATTCCAAAACTTTTTGTTCATAATTTCTTGATATGGTCATCAGATAATCATGCTTCAAAATTTCCATATTATATTCATGAAATGTACCGTTTTCAACTGGTGAAATTCCTTAACATGTCTTCTGCACCTATACTGTATTTAACAATTATAATTTGTGAATGTTACAGGTATTCAAGTGTTGGAGGTGTGAAACCCTCACATTTATAGATCGAGGTCCGGCACTTGAAATTGATTTAATGAGATTCATTTGCATTCAAGTGGGAAGCTTTAGCATGTGGCTTTCGAAAGCTTAACGCTATGGGGACGCCCATCATGAATACAGAAAAAAAAGGAATGAAGGGGACCTGGAAAATTCATTGTGGGTACGATTTGGCTATGAAAAACCCTGAAGACATGGTGAGAGAACCGAACGAGACCATACAAAATATTGCTTCATGGAGGATTTTGTTGTAGACAAGATTGTTGTAGAAAAACGTTTTATACCAAAAGTGAATTTTGTGGATTTATGCAATTTTGAACAAAAATGTTAGCCTTTGTAATTTTTCGAAATACTATACACGGATACTCGTCTATTCGAAGAAATTTAATTGTGATTGGAAGATCATACAGCAATTGAAAATGTATGATGATGTCATGGATTTCCACGGGTTAAAAATTAATGGCCATGAAACGCGTGGAAAAACATCTATTCTTGAAAAATAATTGAAGATTGTGGGCGTCAATACGCATTTGACAGACGCTTCACTTCTGTGTATATCCTGATAACGATGACTTGTCAGAGGTGTCATTATAGACTGACAAAATGAAAAAAATTAAAACAACGCGTAATGTAATCACTTTTATCCCCTTTATTATTGATTTCATAGTTCTGTCATGAATATCAGCCTGTTTTTCAAAGAAAATCAGTCAAAACACGTAGCTCACATTGATCAATCCACCAGAAGCTTTTTGAAAAAATTTATTTTGCCTAGAACATGATTAAAATCATTCACGCGGCGGTTTATGCAGCAATGATTCTTATTTATATACTGCACGAAGGTGTGTATGTGTGGAAATGTTGGGGAATTTGTGCAATTCTTTTATAAATACGAAAATTCACAAAAGTTAGAAGAAGTGAATCCTCGAGGTTTTGCTAGAAATCTTGGAGAAGTGTCCGTATGCCGAGACTTTGTCTAAGAGCCAGTGCAAATTTGTTAGTTTTAAGTGTCCGCAAGTCGAATATTCCGTATATCAAGGTCCCACAAATAACTGTATCAATTTTTCACTGCATAGTTTTGAGAAGAAAATGGCAGTCCAAAAAAAAATTGAAATTTTCCTGGCTGATTTTCTTCAAACACGCTTGTTCATGCAATTAAGTCTGGAAAATAAAAATAAAACGTGAGCGTTCATTTGAGTTTACAAAAAGCGAGCCATTTTATGAGCTAACTGCAAAATGCCTGACAATTGGCTGATATTTCTTCAACTCAACTCTGCACATTTTTTTTTCTCATCACCATGTTCACCTATTATTTTATTTTCGTTTTCTTTATTCTACCAGCGCAACTCATCATGATGGGAAAATTTCCCACTTATTGTTGTCTACCATCGCATCCTTGTCCAGACTTCGAGAATACATGTCCCATTCTTCCTGCCTCCAGTGGCAACGTGGAGAGTCCTGACAAACCGGAAGATGGACTTCCGTGTTGCAGAGTTGCCATCGACGCAAGAGGAATTTTCATAGTCTGTCACACTGACTTTTGCGACGCTGCGCAGAACATTGAAACCTTACCACAAGACTTTGAAGTAGCCTCATGATGTCACACCCACGAAGATGGACATGTTGTTTGTGACCAGTATTCTTGCATGATTTCACCAACGATGGGTGAACCCGATTTGAAAGGACCGAAGATTCTCCTGGGGGAATTGGAAAACGGGGTCGCTCACTTGCACAAGTGTTGCTTCCCCTCATGTGCGATGCTTGGGTGCATTCCAAGTTGTTCCTACCCATGCGGCGTTTGATCCCAGAAAAAGAACCCAAGCAGGGATATCCGGCCAAGAAAATCCACAGGTGCATGACAAAAGTAATTTTTTATGAATGAATGTCCGAACTGTCGTCTCTCGTGTACATTCAACTGAAAATATCCGTGTTACAAATCCACCGAATGAAGTTTTTCTCTCACAATATCTGGACATTGTTTGACAAGCAAAATAAATTTTTGTAGAAAATGCAGCTCTCTTACAATTTACGAGAATGGTTTCCTTTTCTTCTTTTTTTTCTGATTGCTTCACTCAAGAATACAAATTACCAGTAACCAACTACTTCAAAAAACATATGTGCAGCAGGTGGAAGAGAAAATTATACTGTTTGTAACAAAAGTGGACTTTCCAATACAAAGACCAGAATAGAGAAGTAATAGAGCGATTGTATCACATTAGTTGTTATTGTTCAATTTTGAATACAGTTGAATTTTGATGAGTTAAGCCTCCTTAAGTCATACACTGCGCATGGTGGAATTTTTTAAAGCCCCCATTGAAATTGGCTGGGAAACAATGTTTTAAAAACCTCCCTAACTCAAAGTTTTTTCTCTCTCAAACAGTCAAACCTCTGTATGTTGAATATTCTGCAGCCTTTTGGTTATAATTTTCTGGATCCATGAAAGAGAAAAGCAATAAAACGGTAAGCAACTAAATGTGTTCTAGCAACTTAATGTGTTGCATTATAACTTCTAAAAGAAGTTATAATGCAACAGCATTCATCAAGTCTAGCACAAATGCAACATTCCATGGCACAACATGCAAGTGAACCACATGGATTATATGCTTCTATAATTTC